ATTATGCAATGATTAACTTAATCAAATGATTAATTTGACATTAATTAAAATTAATTAATCACATTATTAATATTTAATTGAAATAATTAAGTAATTTAATTATCATGATTAATGATTTAATTAAATGATTAATTTAATATTAATTAAAATTAATTAATTATATTATTAATCTTTAATTAAGATAATTAAATAATATAATTATCTTAAATTAAGATTAATAAGTATGATTAATTTATTTTAATTAAAATTAATTAATTTTATTAATCATAAATTAAGTAAATTATCTTAATTAATTAATTTATATATGTTTTTTTATCCTTTTTTTTTGTTTTAGTTTAAATTTTTTTTTTACTGGATTAAATCGGGTTGACCCCAAAAGACACGATTTGAGCATAAAAATAAACAAAAGAAGATTAAACACACAAACAAAGCAGGAGAACTAAGATTCATGGAATTTAAACAATTTTCTGCAGAACATGCATTCAATTTCAAATTCAACATATATTAGTCACATACTAATAAAATCTGTCATTCATTCATCAACAAAATAACATCATACATCAACAAACATAAAAATATAAAAGTGAAAATTCCAGAAAAAGACAGCGGATCCGGTTTAAACAGAGGAACCCCACCCACGGGATCAAGCTCTGTTCGTCACCTTCACCACCCTTTTCTTAAAATTTCTCAGTTTCAGAAAATTACCAAAAGAGCTAAGCCTCTATTTCCCACCAGTGATCCAGGGATGCCTCCAATGTGTCGTGTGTCAGTCCGTCTAGGGGCCATTATAGGAATTCACTGGGCCTTTACTGCTATTGTACACAAAATACATACATGGAGATGGAATTTTAAAAAATTTTTAAACGAATCTAAATATACCAGGTAATTTATTAATCCTTAAAATTTCTTTCGAGTTTGGTTAAATTCTAATTTGATATCTTAATTATTATACAAATCTTTAATTAAATTCTTAAATTTAAAAAATTCTTAATTGATTAAATTTTTTAATTTGATCTCTTAACTATTATACAAATAATTAATTTAATCTTTTAATTAAATTTTTAGTTTGATCTTATTATTTATAAATTTAACCTCAAATTAATTATTTCATTAAAAAAGCATTGACATTTTTGTTACTTAATGATAAAAAATCATATCTTAATAATAAAAAACTATTGCTTAAAAGTCATCTGACGTGATACATCAATTATTTTTATATGTGAAAAAATCAATTTAGAGTGAAATTGATAAATAACAGAAACATTTTTTAATTTAAGGGCCAGAGGACTAGGGTTTAACATTCTTAATTTGGTCCCTTATGATTGAAATTTTAGCTGCTTCCTATTTCCTCCGTTAAATTCTCAACAAGCATGACCTGTCCAAGATTAACAACACTATTAAGTGAAGAGGAATGCTAGGAGCACTCGCTCCAGCACTCTCCCTTCAGCAACCGCTCATCTATTTATCCATGTAACTCAATATTTTAGATTGAAAATTGGAAAACGGTTACAAAACTTCAACAAGAATGTAGGTCTCACATATTAAATGATATGTACTGCAATTGATTTTATTTCAAAAAAAGTCTTCTATCTTAGCCCCATTACTCTCTTTTTTCGAGTGATCGCTCGCACTGATAATCAGCTACGTACTTGTAATTCCTTCTTCCCTTGAACAATCCAAAGTGATGAAATTTGTACGATCAAAAAAAGCCTTCTTTGTGAATGTTCAAAAAAATAAAGAAGAGCCTTCTTTGGGTGAACATCAGTGGAAAATGAGGACAATAAGAAGCAATGTTATAAATATTTCCTAATGCGGAATGCTAGGAGCACTCGCTCCAACACTCTCCTTTTGGCAGCCGCTCATCTATTTAGCCACGTTGCGACTGATTTTGATGCTTTAACTGGGAACCGGTAATTGTAAGTAACTAGCTAAAAGACAAAAAAGTTAAACTAAAAACTAAAAGTAGGAATTATATGATAATCTAAAAATAAGGATAA